CTTTGAGGTCTGCACGAGCAGCAGTTACCAGACTTCTGACAAGGTCCTGGGGCGCCCTCTGCTGACCACATAGAGACGTGCGCTTGCAAGCAGAGCCTTGCCCAACTATTCTCTCTGGGTGCCTGTGATTAAAGGCCCAGTCCCAGGCTGACCCGCTCTCACATGCTGACCCCTTTCACTCCAAGGGCCCTCCAGCAGAGAGAGGCATTGTCCTGCTTTCATCCTGCAGAGGGTGTTTAATGGAAGCAGATGGAACATCAGCCCATCTGATGCCAGGGTTGGCCTGCAGAAACGGGTACCTGGGCTTTGGCAGACTGAAGACATGAGTTCAAATCCCTTGGCACTTGTACCTGGACTCTCTGGGCCACAGTTTGTTCACCTGTGAAACAGAAAAAACATCCACTCCCACATTGAAGGGGATTCTTGGAGATTGACTAGAAAAATGTAAAGTTCCTAGCCCAGTGCCAGACTCATGGCAGGTGCAGTAAATGGCCATGCCTTTCTCTGTTCTTTCCCTTAACCCAGGGATTACCCAGAATTTAGTGGCTCGGGCAGACCTAGGGCACTGGCTTGTCTGCTGTGGTCACTTCCCGATTCCAGCTCTACCAACCCCTGACAGGGGTCTGGGTGGGTCAGGACGAGGAAGGGCTTCTGTGTCAGAGCTAACGATTCTGGGCCTTTTGTAGAATTCAGAGACTTAGCCCAAAGAAGGTGGAGGCGAACCATCTCAGGCGGACATGAATTTGTGCGTACAGATTATAAATGCGCGGTGGTCCCTGCTGCACTCAAGAACCAGCATCAGGTTTGGGGCACCCCAGAAGACTCCACAGAGGAGATAGTGTTTGACCCAAGCCCCTGACAATGAATAGGGTGTTCGGCTGAAGAAATAGCAGAAAGACATAGAATCATGAAAATGGGTGGCATTTTCAGGGAAACAGATAATAGGTGTCAGGATGTCAGGTGATGAGGCTGGGAAGGAAGCAGGGGTGGAATGCCATGCTCAGGAGCCTGGCCCGTGTTCTATGGTTAATGCCCGGCAGTGGCTGTTTTGAAGTAGGGAGTGTTATTGTCCAGCCTGTGTACTGGGGAGCTGACCTGGATGCCAGTGTGGAGGCCGATCATGGAGAAGAGGACAGGTTCCCCCTCTGCCTATAAGCCTGTGGGAGTCGCAGCATATCCTGAGGCCAAAGCACTCAAGCTTGAGAGGGGAAGCTGGGCCAGAAGCAGGGTCTGTCAGGGTTCAATACTGTCATCCTCAGCGCTAGCCTTCCTATGCAGGAAGCTGCAGCGAGCTGACAGTTGTCACCTGTAGCTGCACAATATTCTTGGCCCCAGCTAGGGTTTCATTTGAGGTTCAATTCGCGGAGACAGGAACTGCCCTCCTTACTCCCCTGAGCCCCTCAACCCCAACACAGCAGATTAGTCTGGATTCTCCTAGTCTTGGCTCCCATTGGTCACTGGCTGTCATCTCCAAGCCCATCTCCTCCTAGTACGCCCTTCCACGGATGGAAGAGTATAGTCTTGTCCTTCCTGAGCTCAGCCTCCTCCCATTTGGGATGTTCACGGGGAGGTGAGAGAGGTTGAAAAAAACGGCAGGACACTGCTGATATGATAGAGCACACCTCGTGATATACCAAAGAAGCGACGGCTCTTCTGGTGCCTCTGGGCAGGTTCCAGGCAACACCCTGATCCATCCATGGTGAAGGGGGGGAGCCTCTGCCACAGGGGGCCAAGGCCCACCTGCCCTCGAGAACAGTAGAGGAACCTAGGAGGAGAAGGAGTCCCAGCGGAGGAGGAGAGGTGTTGCTGGCCGAGCCTGCTGCAGTGAAAATGGGGCAAGAGATACTAGGCGGGGAGGGAGGAGGGTGCGCAGTAGGTAAGTGGCCAGCCGGCGTTCCTACCCGCCGCAGCACTGAGCTCCAGGCCCACCGGGCCTCTGGCTGGCAATAGATCTCCAATAACTCATCCTGCCCCCAACTCCCTCAGGACTCAGGCTCCCCTGGCGGGCCTTCTCCGTGGGGGCCTTTTCTGCACTGTGATCCGTGACTTGGACCCCTCTACGAGTTCACATAGCTGAGAGAAGTGGCCCTCGGTGGCTGCCAGAGACGGCAGGCCTTTAAAGCGCATTGTGAGCCGGATGGATAGCTGTCCCAAGCTTCCAGACCAACCATTCTCGCTGACATCCTTGCAGGCCCTGCTTCGAGGGCCGAAGCCTTGGGGCCCCGAGTCTGGTCGTCTTCTCATGGTTTCTCTTGTTTCTTCCTTCAGGGAGAACGGGGCATGCCAGGGATGCCGGGCAAACAGGGAGCGAAGGTACCTGCCCCTCACCCCACTCCAGGCAGCCCCCTACCCATCCCCCACTTCTCTCCCAAGCTCTGGGGACACCTTAGAGGCCCAGCTCCTCCTCCTTCTCACGTCCCTGTCCCTTCATTTGGCTCATGAACCGTCACTCACCAGTGCCCTCCTGACACTGTGCCAAGCCTCCTCCTGGGCATCTTTAGGTCATAAAAAACTTCTCGGGTAATTCCAGTTCTGTGCAGTCCTCAGACCCATGTGGGGAGTAGGGACTCTCTAAAACTCACCTCCACTTGGATTTACTAAGCAGTGTGCTTGGCAGCCTATTCACCTCAAAAGTACGTGGTCTTGGGCTGATGTGGAAATGGGGTCCACTGCCAGCTGCTCCCTAGTCCATGAAGGCATAGGTCCAGAGAGCATCCTGTAAGGAGAATCCTGCTGACACTCGGTTGGACTGTACATGGTGACATCAGCCATCTACTCTCTCCCCTTCCCCGAGGCTCTCCCTTCTTTTTCACCTCCCCTTCCATCTCCTCCTTCTCTCCTACCCCAGTGAAGCCCTCCCTGCCCTCCTCTGCACCCCAGGGACGCCCCTATATAGCTCACCCATGGGCATCCTGCCATGGTGCCTACTGTGTCCCCCTAGAGGGCCTGGGAACTGAGCAGGTAGGTAGGAAGCCTGAGGAACCCAGCTGTGCTGCACAGAGCCTCTTCCTCAGAGCCCACTCTCCCCATGCCGAGCTCAACAACCCATCTTTCCCATGAGTCCGTGCGGCAGGCAGAAGTGAGCCGTCCACCTTTGCATCTCCCCAAGGGGAGGCTGAGGGCTGGCCACTTCCTCCGTGCTTCTCCTGACTGCAGAAAGTCTCTATGCCTTTTCTTCTCTCTGCCAGGGGGCTCCTGGAATCGCCGTGGCTGGGATGAAGGTCAGTGGAATGCTGTGACTAAACCCTGAGAGGCAGGCTGGGAAAGATGGAGTTCATTGGGACAGCCACTGGACCCAGGAGCGGGCAGACAGGATTGGGAAACATTTCGTTAAAGCAACATTTTTGCCAGATGCACAACTTGAACAACCCATGTTTGAACCTTGCAGGGAAGTAGCAAAGGGGTACCAGCCTCAGCTACAGGACTCACCCTCCTGCCGACGTGCAAGGGAGCCAACGCTTTCCTTCACACTCTGGAATTCGGCAGCTACATACTTACAAAACCTCGGGGAGAAGAGCAGGACTCCTTCTCCTGAACCCCAGCCTAACAGCCCTTCTGGTTGGCAGGCAGATGGGTGGGGACGCCAGAGCAGCACAAATATTCAATGTGGCTCTTCTGACAGGTCCACATACAGAGGTAGTCTTGTCCTTCCTGAGCGCAGCCTCCTCCCATTTGGGATGTTCACGGGGAGGTGAGAGAGGTTGAAAAAAACGGCAGGACACTGCTGATATGATAGAGCACACCTTGTGATATACCAGAGAAGCGACGGCTCTCCTGGTGCCTCTGGGTAGGTTCCAGGCAACACCCAGATCCATCCACGGTCACCCATCACCCAAAGTAGAGGTGGAGCCTCTGCCACAGGGGGCCAAGGCCCACCTGCCCTCGAGAACAGTTAGAGGAACCTAGGAGGAGAAGGAGTCCCAGCGGAAGAGGAGAGGTGCTGCTGGCCAAGCCTGCTGCAGTGAAAATGGGGCAAGAGATACTAGGCGGGGAGGGAGGAGGGTGCGCAGTAGGTAAGTGGCCAGCAGGCGTTCCTACCCGCCGCAGCACTGAGTTCCAGGCCCACCGGGCCTCTGGCTGGCGATAGATCTCCAACAACTCATCCTGCCCCCAACTCCCTCAGGACTCGGGCTCCCCTGGCAGGCCTTCTCCGGGGGGCCTTTTTCTGCACTGCGATCCGTGACTTGGACCCCTCTACGAGTTCACATAGCTGAGAGAAGTGGCCCTCGGTGGCTGCCAGAGACGGCAGGCCTTTAAAGCGCATTGTGAGCCGGATGGATAGCTGTCCCAAGCTTCCAGACCAACCATTCTCGCTGACATCCTTGCAGGCCCTGCTTCGAGGGCCGAAGCCTTGGGGCCCCGAGTCTGGTCGTCTTCTCATGGTTTCTCTTGTTTCTTCCTTCAGGGAGAACGGGGCATGCCAGGGATGCCGGGCAAACAGGGAGCGAAGGTACCTGCCCCTCACCCCCC